CTGTGTTAGACACCAGTAATTGGACTAAATTCAAAATATTAAAAAAAACACATTTTACAAACGCTTCTATATTAATTTTCAAAAAAACCAAACTCATCTAAACACGATTTCTTACCTACATTCTTTGGAATTAACTTCCGATAGTGACTCGGCGGAGTGCAATGGTAAGGGGCTTATTTCCCCTCTAAAGAGATTTCCCTTCTAAAAAGAATGAAATTGAAATGTCACAAAGTAAATTGACCTGTGCTGTCCTGAGACTTGGGCTATTTAAAAATGAATATTATATTCAATAAGAAATGACAACGTGTCACAATTTTATATAAACAATAAAATTCCCTTTTCCCTTTTGTCGTAAATAGTGCAGAGCCGAGCTAAATAAAGTTAGTTGGTGGTTAGCCGAAACGAGCCAAGAATGCTGCTCATGCCAAAGAACATCCACGACACATTGACACAGAAGGTGGAAAAAAGACTATCGGTCCTCCTTAATATGCCACAAGCCTTTTTTCTCATTTGCCCCCGTGCCCAAACACTCACGCGTACCAACTTAGTCACATTTTCTAACCTTCCCACCCTGTGCAGTTTCAATTGAGCACATTCATTCTGAACCACTGCCGAAAGGATAAAAACTCACCAGAGAGCACGTTGGCCCTCTCTCCTCTCGCCTATCTTCATACTTTCACCGACCTCAGTCTCCTCCGATTCTCTTCGCCTCTTCCAGGCATTAGTGGGAAGCAAAAGGAAAATGGGTGGGGGGTAAAGTGGGGTGGAGTTACGATGTCTCCTCTGATTTAGGCTCATGGACGCAACACACGAATACTACAATACCCGGGTTCTAGCTTTCCTTCCGCTGTACAGCACTCGCTCACTCAACCAAAAGGGGTGGGGGGGGGGGGGGGGGTGGGGAGGGATAAATTGAGACAAGACTCCACCCACTTGTTGTTTAATTATCGTCATGGGAGTTTCTTTGCATGCTAGACGTTTTCTCATCGGCGATCTCTGTTAAGTGTAATATCATTTTCTGCTCACGAATGCAAAGAAATTGGTTAAATAAATACTCGTGTAAATTGAATTTTGGAATTTGAACTTATCATTTTAAAATGTTACTGACTAGCTCTGCTTACCATAATGTTTTTTTAGGGTTTTCCCAGCTGAGTATTGTTTGAAATAGTGAATTGTAAAATATACAAAAATTAAAAATACGTTTTAATTATGATAAAAATTAATAAAGGCTTTCACACTTATTTTCAAACTTTAGAAGACTTGTCTGTGTTTAACACTATTTTTAAATTCTGCATGATTCAATTTAAATCCAATCCTATTTCGCTAAAAAATTGCTAATGAAACTTAGACGCTGTCACTAACTTTGTTAAAAGCAACAATAAGTACTTTTCCGAAATGGTAATCATTTTATTTACAGTTCGCCTTCAACTGTTGAATTGTCGATACTTCAATCCGTATTATCTATTCATGGAATTATTCTCTTCATTATTACCTGAATCTTCTCCATACATTGTCTTCAAAACAAACCCCACTCTCCCGTTCTTACAAATTCTCTAATAACTTCTCTGAAATATAAAATTATTAGCTTTAAGGCAAGTATTAAATTTTGAGCCATTCTCTGCTTGTAGCCTTCACAATGTTTCAAGTATGTAGAGTATTACTAACCAACTTGGAAGTAACAGATTGCAATATGATATTTTTATCTTTTCCATTCAAACTTTCCAGATACAGGCTACATGAATTTATCATCATTTTTCCCAAAGTAACACTAATATGTGAACGGATTGAACGGTTCATAGTGCTCGGGGTAAAAGTTTCTGATGACTTAGAGGTTTTCGCGTTCACTTTAAAGTTTAAACCCTTCTTCGTTCACATACCTGATATCACCTGGAAAGGTTGTCCGAAAATCACCCGAATTGTGGAGAAGAATAATTTGCATCCTGGTGATTAGCATTGACCATCAAAATACGTAGATTATAGAGATCACTGAATGCCAACTCATAAAATGCAAAAACAATTAGTCTTTAACTGCAGCATTGGATTGTAGACTACGAGGTTGCCGTGGTTGACAGAGTGCAGCAGAGCAGACGATCCGATCAGATTGCACTTGCACAGTAAATTTCCTAGAACATTCGCAGTAGAAGGAGTATTGTAACGCTCTGGCATCCTAATTCGGACTTTGTCGATACAGATAATTAAATTTTTCAACCTCGGCCATAGAGATTCCACTCAAGTGTGTGTACCGTCTTCTGTGGAAGATGTGATGTAGCCGTATATTTATAAAAGAGGTTAAGTTAAATTCAGTTGTATTCGTGGAACTGTTAACAACTATTGTACTTAGGGTAAGGATAATTAACGAAGGTAGGGAGCAATACTGTATGTGAATAAAAAGGCAGTAGGCTTTATCCCCATTTCGTAACTCAGAAGATAGTTTAAATGGTTTCTATGGCTTCTCAGGAATTCAACTCAACAGAGAATTTCAAGTACTGTTTTCAGGCTTTTGAAATATCTTAATAAATGTGTACTTACTAGTAGATTAAGTTACAGTCCACGGGAATATTCTAAAAGGAAACAATGTGCAGACACAACCTATGCAAATTCTGCATTAATGTTTCCCACTGATGAAAATGGAATGACGTTATTTCAAAGATGGGTAGTTAGGATTACAAAATATGCTTTGTCTGTTAGAATTCTACTTATAATTATTTGGGTATAATAAAGGGGGTGGGAGAGAATTGCAGTAGATGACAACTAGTATTTGGAGATTGAATATTCAAAATAAGCACGCAATTAACCTCAAGAAAAGTTAATTTTCTTCCATGAATCATTTGCGAGTGAATGAGGTATCTGGCTATCAGGCCTGTCAGCTATCTGCCAACGTCAAACATTGACTGCCACAGTCACCAGCTTTGGAGATAAGTTATCGCCTATTCCTAATGTACATACTGAGTTTGAAACCCGAAATAAGTTGATGTCACCGCTTATTAAAGACAAAACATCGACGTTGCGTAAACCGTTCTTTTCTTTACCATTTAAAAAGCTGCCTGCACGTCATGGCCAGCGCCTTCCACGCTCTGCCCTCTTTGACAGCTGCTGAAAGCGTTCCCCAACAGTGCCCACACCAACCACTTTCCACTGTCAGCACCCACTCCAATGTCAAACTTTGGAGTTTTAGCTAATTGGTTTCATTGTTCTAGGTGTTTAAACTATTTTTTTAATGTTATCCCTTACTACTCGTTATGAAAGCGTTAGCAAATTATGCTGATACTTAGACGGACTTAGTAAAAGGATTGTGTTTCAGTGGTATTTGAAAATATTGCCTTTTTTAACATTGTTCAATAGATTCCACTTTAAGAAAGCAGATGGCTCGTATAAATGTAAGAATTAACAGATAAAATTGTAAATTCTTTCAATGGTTTTTGAAGTGCAGTAACTATTAGTATTTTTCCTAATTTCCTAGGCAAAAAGGGTAGAAAAAATTAGCTATATATTAATTTTTCCTTGTTAATCATCTATTAACTAGCGTTCAAATTGTAAGCTGCATCGCCAATTGCATGACATCCTTACACATCAATCAATTGCTTTACACTTGTGATAATACTTATTAAGAGCTTCCCACCTCTATGTAGATATCGTGTTATTTTTTGACTGACTCCAAGGAAGAGGTAACTTTTTTATTCTTATAATTTCCAACACCAATGTAATAATAGCCACAGGGCCTGACAAATTTTACCTTATAATGTCACTTAGAACAAGGAGACCGATTACAATCGATTGAATTCAATTTTCCATGTCATAAAATGAAATGAAAATCTAAAATTTCATATAAGCAAACTTTCGGTCTCGTTATTGATTCCTTCTTTTTAAAAATCTTTCTATTGTTTCATTTTGTCACTATTGAGTTTATATCAATAAATGTTACTCGCTGCATTCTCCCACAAATTTGCTCATAAATCAGATTTCTGGAGGACGTTATGAGTAACGGAAGACCCCTTCTTGGGAAGATTGGTTTTCTGATTTTGCATATTTTATTAATTAATCTCATGAAAATCATTAAAACACCAGTTAATTTTCTTCCAAATAGGGGATTTACCCTCTATCAGAAAATTTAACACATTTTTCCGACAATCAGGTGAATTCCACTCAGTTAGGCTAATATTCATCAACATTAGCATTGCCTAAACAGCACTAAATTCCATCTCTCCACCAAATTAACTCATATCCTGGATCATGAAGGTAGATGATTTCTATGAAGATTGAACTTAAAAAATTTAAAAATTTGATTGTATACCTAAGTACTTTACATTTCAATACATGTTTTGCTAAATTTTTTGTACAGTTTTTTTTAATTGTTGTATTCACAATTGGTCAACTGTCAATTTTCACTTTCTTCTTTTCAAACAGGTGCTTTGTCGGCTACTCAAACTAGTTTTGTGGAGCACTTAAATGCCATCGTCACTTAAACTTACATCTTGTTGATAAGTTGACAACATCAACATAGTGGAAGCAGTAGAGTAGTGGGCAGATAAAGGCAATTCCACTTAAAAGACTTTGATATTTAAAAGAATGAAAATTCCTATCAGCCTTCTTTCAATAAAAAATTATTTATATTATTTACTATATATCTTTTTTCCAATGTGGTAGAAAGAGTCTAAAAGGCATTTATTATTCTGATTAATATAACCATTAAGTATTGATTGATTGGATAATTGATTGATCCATCTATATTGATATTTGGCACTTTTTTCAATTTGTGAACTGTACTCTTTTAGCGTAATCCAAAGCACATAACCACTTCCTTAATGATTTCGAAAAGATGCTAAGATAGATGAAGTGCATAAACAAACTGCATCTTATTTTTTGGAGCTAATTAATCAGTAAGAAGGAATAGTTAGTTATTTTCTAAAGACTCATTATTATTTTTATTATTTTAGACACGTATTCTCTATAGGCCTGTATCTGAAATTTTAGATCTCAAAAATCCAAGGTGACCAAACGTTATGGATAAAAGTGAACAGTCTCCACTTCACAAACCCCACAAAGATATTGGCAGAATTGAAGTAAGCGCTAAATATTCCTTATTAACTAAGAATTCGCTTTTGTCAGTCTAGCGATTAATTTAATAAACCAATTACATTTTCGAGTTATTGCTTACATTTTAATGGGAACATAATGACTTATTATCGCCATTATTATCAATTCAGAAAAACTGCAATTTAGTGTTAAAAAATAATAATTCTTATTATTCGTGTTATTATTGATTTGTCTAGCAGGTATCACGGTGTTCTCCCAACCAATCCTACAATGGCGAATCCACCGAAACAAAAGAATATTCAAAGTACTCGAATTTCCTTTATGGTGAACAATTCTGCAATTATGAGCTACATTCTCAGTCGAAACGAAAGCGTCAATGCGAAGAAGATATAGGGGAAAGTAACGACGGAGCCAATCATGACAAAGTACGCTTCAATGTACAATCGACTGTTATCCTTAGAGTGATTGCGGTTAACTCAGCTGTTCATCCTTTTTCAGAAATCGAAATTATCTGTATCCCCACATTCAGCCGATGATGGAAGCAATTCAACTTGTTTTGATGAAGACAGAGATCTCTCTAATCTTACTATCCCCAATCGCAAGCACTTTTCGTCGCAAATTAATTCACCAATGGCCATGAGCAGGGACACACCTTTGCAGTACTTAAATTACCCTAGTGTACCCTTTTTGAGGTCACCCGAGTTTAAAGGAAGAGTAGATTACAACCACTACCCATTGCATAGCCATCATATAAGAGAAGACGCATGCACCAAAGATTTCTTTAGTAGCATCCAACCACCTGGAATATTCCCATACCTTTGTGATGATGGCGAAAGTCGTAATGATGGCTTAGGATCTGAGCTTCATATTGCTGCCTACAACGTGAGCTTCCTGTTTTCCTTGCAAAAAAATTCAAATTTATTAATATTTTTGGCTACGATTCAATTAAATCCAAATTGTATTTGCAGAATTTCGTAAGAAAAGTGGTCGACGAGACATTGGATAGGACAATAACCTTTTGCGAGCAACCTAGAAATGCGATCAGTGCACTGGAAAGAATCTGCTCCAAAGCCTGGCCTCAACTAGAAGCCAAGCGCCATCGGAACCGAATTCGTGCTTATCTCAAAGCTTGTCGACGTAATTCCAAGAAAAACCGAGGTCAAATCAACATGAAGGAACCGCCCATGAATGCACTTTCTGTTGAGGCTAGACAAATTGTCACTTCTGCTATGAATCTAGTCAGGAAAGACATCGAACAGTTGAGAGAGGTATACGTTCTTTAATAAAATTAGATCAGATCGATGCTTCATTGAAATTGTATGATTTAGAATAATATACTTAAGTATAGCTAATGTATACACTTGTCTCTCTTTTCCGATCTGTAAACTACTTGAACCATTCTTCGTATTTTATATTAGATATATCAGAATAACTGGAGAACATTTGGTTTTACCATAGTATCAATGTATATTATGACTTATTTCCTTATGGTTTCAGGATTTGAAGAGAGATAGCAGTCCACCTGCATTCGCCGCTAAAAATGGAACACTTCCCATTAACTTTCATTGTCCAGAAACATTCAATAATAATTCCAGTCATCATAGAAAGATCTCTACAATTTCGACTAATTCTTCGCTTCATTCCAATGCAAAGCCCTCAATATTCACGGAAGACCACTACGCGTTACCAAAGTTAAGCGCTTTGCAGAGTGTAATTCCTCCAATTCCTTCTCTATCAAAGCCATCGACTGAGAGAAGTATTCCAAATACTCCCAATTTATTGGATGTACAATACTTTTCCGCCTTGATGCGCTTTCTACCCACTTCATTGCAATTTAACAAAGAATTGGGAGTTAATTTGTGTTCTTCAGAAAAGAATGGTGCTTCTGTTGAAGCATGGAATGATTATCGGGAGAACAACTACAATAAGAATGAAGGAAAAATTTTAGGACAAAGGGGATCCTCCTTGCAAAGCCAGCCCCCACCTGCAGCTCATTTCTCAATAGCTAGATGCTCACCTTCGTTGAGTAGGGCAACTTCTATGCTTCTTGAAGTTAGACCACTTTCACAGGCGAGTATTCAGCTAGTATTCCAATATTTGTGTGTGCATGAAATGCGAAAAAAATATATTGCTATTATAAATTTTTAATCATTTTAGGATGACCTTGAATACTTCCAACGCTATCAGGGCTTAATGGAAGAGGCAATTGAATACGTTCGGGGGGTTTCTCAAATGTTGATGAAGAAGGTTGAAATCATCGAGGGGCACATCAAGGAATCAAAATTGTCTTGTAGAATTAACCCTCTTAATTGTGCAACCAACTAACTATCATTAAATTAACTATTATTTATGCATTTCCTGCCTGTAACCGTGTATATCCTCTTCATTAATATATTATAACCGTGTTCGCTTTCAACTTGCAATATTTATTTTTATTTCAAATGGCAGGCGTTATGATAGGTATCATTAGCCCTTTAGTTGACTTCCCGTTATGATAGGTATCATTATCCCTTTAGTTGACTTCGGGGATGATAGGTATCATTAGCCCTTTAGTTGACTTCGTGCTTCCCAGAAAGGAAGAGGAACACCAAAGGGGGGACAGAAGAGCGATTCACAGACGTAAAAGAGACAGACAGACACAAAGGTAGAAAAAAGGTGGGGTGAATACTGTGGAATTATTCGAATATGAAATGTAATGGGGTCATGGTAGTTTGAAGTCAGAAGTCAACTGCCGGTTAATAGACTTTTTTGCCGTATGAGTATACGTTGCCCAAGGTGCACCACGTGGAGGTAAGTCTATTACACACCCCCAACTTGCAATATAAAATGTCAAATACGTACAATATTAGTGTTTTTTGCTATCATCTTTGTCTACTCTTTCAAAGTATAGGAAAACACTTTAAGATCTCATCATTTAGTTCAAACGATATCACGATATTCTCAATGCTTCGATTAAAGAAGCATGATACAGGACTATTTCCATATGAAATCGATTTTAACCATTTATCGCTATAAGAAGAAAACTTTTCTGTATTTTCCCCCCAACGACATTTAATCACGTGTGAGAGAGTAAGGGGGTGTTTAGGTCAGTGAGGAGGGGGGGGAGGGGGTAGAGAGGGCTAGAATCGTCGAGCATGTGACATTCTTTCACTTCACACCTACAAAAGTCATACAGTCCCCCCAGGGGTATAGGAGGGTGCAAAATGTGTCTGGTGTACCTAATCAGGTCAAGTGGCCTGTTATTTAACTAGGCTTAGCCAGGAGATACTTGTATAACCTCGATGTGGGTGGCCAGTGCCCTGTCAACACAATCTAACTAGCACCCTCAATGATATTTAAGTTGACATTTGGATGAGATATAATATCAAATGAAAAATATGGTCATTTGCAAAAAGATCAGGAAGAACATGAAGTAGGTTAGGAATATACATATGCATATATATATATATATATATATATATATATATATATATTATGATCAATAATAATAAAAATAATAATTCTGTTAATCGAACTAAATATTCAAAGTAAGTTCTGACGATAGTTCTGTCTTAATGAATGAATTATTACAATTAATGTTAATTTGACAAGGGCAAATGGATCAAAGACGATAAATGGATTGTTTTGTGAATCGCATTTTTCATATCAAAATATCATTTACGACAGTGTTTATAACTGAGATGTCAAGTGAATCCTGACTTTATGATCCTACCTACAAATTTTTAATAGAGACTGATCTGCGGAAAAAGGAATTACCAAAATGCGAAACCCCGTCATAAGTTTCATAGATTGAAATTAAACAGCATTATTTCTCCAGCTGGTAGAAAGGCATGGCGACACTGAGAATCAGACTTCAAAGGACTTCATGTAATAATATCGGGGTGGTCGAGCGTCGTTCTCATCATTGCGATATAATACGGCAACCAAATTTCCCCCCCCCCTCTCATCTAAGGTTTACCATTGCAGTCCCTCCCTCGAACATAAAGATTTTTCCTTTTCCTGCTACTCAACTTGCCTAGAAGACTCCGTTTGGGGCTGTAAAGATAAACGACTTTGAGGTAGGTTAATTTTGACGGAGTTGAGTCAGCTCACGAGAGGGGCGACTGGAGACGAAGCTAAGCAACTCACCATTCTCCTTTGGCCTCGCCAGTGAGTACTACTAGTACCACTTGTGAGGTCTACGCTCGGCTCAGCTAAGCTACGTTTGATTCAAATAAGTACAAGGACGGCACTGTGATGGAATGGGGTTCATCGAAACGAACTTGGGTAATAAGATTGTGTTTCCTGTTAGGACTAAACTGGATTTCTTATTTCGATGAAATAAATAGGATGATAGGGCTGTCTACTAATGCCATTTATTTAATTAAGTAATTTTCAATTTTAAATCGATTCTTTAATAGCACCTACGAAACAAGAGCGGTAAACCTCCAGTTTAGTCCAATTTATATAAAGCGAAGCAGAATTTTACTCTTAAGGATAATTGAATGAAAGGGATACATTAATTGTAAAGAATATGATTTCACATTCTTATGACCACTGATGAGAAATAAGTTTAATGGATAATTTTCCCGTTTGTATGCTGCTAAAAAACGAAAATATTGTTTTTTAAAACAAAAATGGATCGTTTCTTTACCGGTTTGACGAAAAGTAATGTGAGTACACAATTTTTTTCAATAGAGCTGTTAAATTTGAATAAGTCTTTAGGCTTGGCTAAATTCCTTAAAACCTTGTTGAAGTAAGCAACTAAATTGTTCATATTGGGCACCTTCCGAATTTACTACCAGTGGAAAGATACTGGAATTATTTTACTTCACAGATGGCTTTCCACGGTTGTTGCATGGTATCAATAGTGCAGTTACATGTGTGTGAAAAATTATCAAATAAAATGCCTAATTTTGCCAATCATTTTCCTTTTATTATATATATATATATATATATATATTATTTCGTCAGTGACTGTAGCAGAAATGCGTAGGGACTAAGTCTGCACGCTGAACTCCTAACGAAATTATTATCGTACGCCACTTCGTGAGAAAAATCGTGCGTTTTGCATTAGTTGCAAACTGTATTGCCAGACCCATGGAGTACTTTAATGAATTTTGATTTGCTGTGATGGAATCAAGAAAGAATTCCTAAAATTGATGGCGAAGAATGAAGGAAGGAGGATGTAAGTATATGCTTAAATGGTTGCGCCTTCTTAACATCAGGCAGTGTGATTTGGACCTCCGTTTCTAAATAGGCCTAACAGTGCTATATAACGCAATTTCATAATAAAAGCAATCTCCTTTCACACTTTTGCTACTTGAATTGGCCACTTTCCTCACTTTTCAAGAGGCTGTTAAAGGCAAAGTTCTGAGTTGACGATGACTTTACTGCGAAGAAAATCAAAGGCCGAGATACAACAGGCTAGGCCATTGGAAGAGTGCATAAATGCGTCCTCATTCTAACGTAGTTGTTCTCTTTTAAGTACTTTGGAACTTGGGATGTGTAATAGACTTACCTCCACGTGATGCACCCTGAGCAACGTATACTCATATGGCAAAAAAGTCTATTAACTGGCAGTTGACTTCTGACTTCAAACTACCATGACTCGACTGTATGTTATATTCGACTTCTTCCACAGTACTCAAGACACCTTTTTTATTCCTTTGTGTCTGTCTCTTTTGCATCTTTAAAACACCCTCCTGTTCCAACTCCCCCTCTCGACTTTCTTTCACTTTGATATTCCTTCCCCTCTGTGAAACATGAAGTTAACTAAAAGGCTAAAGATAACTATCAAAACGCCTGCCATTTGATATAAACTTTGGAGGTAATTACTGAATCCTGAATATTCATTATATTTCGACAACTTTATAACTTTAATAACGCCAGCATTGTTTTGCTTCAATTATTTCACCTTAACATCAACAGTCCATACTAAATATCATCAAATGAAAAATCGATGACTGACAATATACTTTACGAGGAAAGGTATATCTTTAAGAAATTACCACTTATCGATAGAACGTGAAAGGTCTCGAAGCGCTTAGGAGAAATGAATAAATTAACTTTGGATTTAAATAGCTTCTTAATCCAGATAGAATGGCGCTTATAGGTTCATAGAAAGACCATATAAGCAAAGATCCAACTTGTAGCAAAGCGTGTATATTTTTTATTTTTCCCTAAATGGGCTTTTATTTCAATTTTTATCACCATGTCATCCTCTTCACCCATCGTGTGCAAAAACATGGAAATGTGCACAATTTCAGAAGGTGAATTACTATGGCTTATAACCAGTGTGGCTTCGTCATTTCTTGCAGCTTGCATCATAAACCACTTGTAAATGTGGTAAACTTCGTAACGACATCACTGTATGGGAAAAATGCATGCCTGGTATGATGACGTCCAAAATATGAAACAAAGGGTGTGTTTGAGTTCATGCAAAATTGTACAAAAAACACTCAACTCCCTTGTTTTTCCATTATCTCTCGGCTTTTTACGCTATCTAAACACATTAATAATTAGATAAACTTTAATGAGAGGTAAAGTGGTCTTTTAACGAAAATATGTAGCCACCCACTGGTGTCATCTTCTTGCACGTTTTAAAAAATTGATTTTTAAAAAAATTTCATTACTTTGAAGTCACTCCAGTAGTAAATTTGCAACTATATGCTTGATTTTAATAGTATATCATTGTTGGATGACCCCTCTTTAAAAATTACTTTAAATTGAGAAATTAATTGATTCTGTTTAGAAAATGAAAGGTAATTTCTTCTTTTAAAAACCGCAAAGTGATAAAATAAGATGCCAACCTTCACTTTTAGCTGTGTGGCATTCCCAGCCTTTCATTGCACCTCCAACATCGATTGTGTTGGAAATTTTACACGGTTACCTGGATTATTGATTTTATAGGACTTTTCTGCGCTCTTCTATTAACATCTTTAGGTAGGATATTAGTGCCAATAGGGCTATTTTATAATAAATTATTAATATTGACGCATTAATTAGCTAAGGGACATACAATTTGAAATAGTGAAAAAAATTCTCGTATCTTTCGAATATATATCAATAAGAGTAGCTAAAAGTGCCTCTCAGGAGATAAATTCTTAGTAAATGTAATTAAATCCCGCCATTATTGAAATAAACCAGTCGTCACCAGGACGTTTAAGACCCTCTACCTCCCCCTTCCCCCACCCCCACCCCACTCCTTTCCACGTCTTATTCCCATCCCCCCTACAGACTCTCACCCAGTCTCAATTTAGACCACCCCACGAGTTCTCCCTTGGATTAGTGTGAATGTTGGTTAGCCAAAAAAAATTCGAGCGAGAGAGAGACAGGCGAATGAG